GGTCCTCCGGGGTGCGCGGAGGTGGTTTCGCGCAGCGGCCGGTGGTGGGGCCCGCCGCGTCGGCTCCGGTGGGCGCCCGGGGCGGAGCACCCCGCTGCGCGCGTCGATTGGGCAGCGGGGCGCCGAGCGCGAGGACTTGCAGGGCTTGGCCATCGGCGCGACGTCGCCCATGGGCCCGGGGGGCTGCCGCGCGCGCTCGCTTCGTTCGGATGCCTTCGACGTGAGTCTCGGAGGGAGCTGGTGGGGTCGGCGCCCTCGGTGGCTTCGGTGTGCGGGCTTCGATGTGCCCGTGTCCATTCGTTTCTCTGCATTCTGCAGCGTCTCCTCGTAGCGTGGCGCTCTGTGCGGTTCCGTCGGCGTCGGCGTCTTTGCTCTCTTCGGTCCCGCTGACTACGGGTGTCCTCTTCGGCGGTGCCCTCGGCTAGCCACTTGTGGTCCTGAGGTTGAATCGGCCTAGTCGAGCCGGACGTCCTGCCCGTCGGGTGCGGGTGCCTTCGTTCTCAACCTCCCCCGGTCCACGGAGAGTCCGTTGAGTGTCGTCTGAATGAGGCGACTCAGGATGCTACTGCCTTGCGCCAATCCCGGCGTGCTCTCGGCGTGGCGGTCGGTGCCAGGCTTGGCGCGAGTGTACCGCCGCCACACCTCCGATCCGAGTGCACGCGCGATCTTTGGGTCGGAGGAAGGGGCCGGTGTGGGAACGCCAACCCCCCGGCTACGCCTCCGTCTGAGCCTCCGGGCGGGGTCTTCGGGTGCGCACCCCCTTCAATAACTTGGTCAACTTGTCAGGTTGAACATCTCGCCTCGGCGCGCGCAGCGAGCTTCACTTTATCGAGTTTATACAGAGACATCGCGTTGCCGCACGCGCGTCGGCCACCTGCAAGCCGCCCGCCGGCCTGGGGAAAAAGAGACGCCTCTCCGTTCCCGCGAAACCGCGCCGAAGCGCCGAAGCGTTCAAAGCTCGGAGAACACCATGGCCGCCCTCGTCGACGACGAGTCCAAGCTCCGCGTCGTCATCGTCGAGGGCTTCCTCGCGAAGCACACGGCCGTCGGCAAGCGCCTGCGCTACTACATGTCGACCTACGGCCGCCGGAAGTGCGGCGGGTGCCGCGTGGTCGAGCTCGACTGCGCGTGCGTCGACTGCACGGCGCAGCTCGCGCGGGTCCTCGCCGAGCTCGCGCGCGAGCGCGACCGCGGCGGCGAGGACGTGGACCTCGTCATCGTCGAGACCGCGGGCCGGGCGGACCCGTCGGTCGTCGCGGAGGTCTTCCTCGACGACGCCGTCGCCGCCGTCGCGTACCTCGACGGCGTCATCACGAGCCTGGAGATCGACGTCGAGGCCGACGTCGACGTGTGCCTCTTCCAGGGCTGGATCGACGGGCTCCACGCGACGGCGGACCTCTTCCGCGTCGAGGCCGAGGTCGCCGTCAGGGACGTGCCGGACCGCTACGCGTACCGCGCGACGCGGCGGCCGTCCGCGGGCGGCTACGGCGCGCCCTGGGGCGACGAGGCGCGGCGGTGCCGCGTGCGCGTCGTCGGCAAGGACCTGGACCACGGGCGCCTGCGCGAGACCTTCGAGGCGTGCCTCGCGACGCGCGCCAACTACCGGCGCATCGTGGAGCGGTTCCGCTTCCGCCTCGGCGACGCCGTCGAGTGCTTCCTCGGCGGCGACCAGGCCTGGGGCCGCGGCACCATCGGAAGCGGGGATCCTCAG